TGGCAAACCTCCGAGTGTATTCCTGCCATGAAAAACAGCTTCTCACAAAAATACAATCGCCGTTCGGAATGTTTTTAAACTGATAAAAAATATATAATTAGCAACTTTAACCGTTATTTTACTTAAATAAATGTTAAGCTTAAGATTTTACGACGGTTAACAGGTTTTGTGAATTCCCTAATGGTGTATATAATTTAACCTACCCTCTTTCCTAATCGGAAAAAGCAAGTATTACTCGCTCAAAGTGGCTCTCAACAGCCTAAGAACCAACCAAAGAAACACAAATTGGGCACTATCGGGCACCTGCGGGCGAGCAAAAGAACACACTTATTGGACGTCCCGGTTTCAAGAATCCAAAAGTTGGCAACCGTGGTCTCACCTTTAAATTATCGCAGATATTTTGTTTCATTAATCTACATATATAATGAAATTGTTTAATTTTTTACAGAAGGTGTAGGCCATTTTTTTAAAGAGTGTCAAGGCTCTAAATTTTTCAAGAATTTGTGTTTTAAAATAAGCTATTTAAAAATGCAAGGAACCGTTAAAAAAGTCAGCTATTCATATTCCTTTCCCCTCTTTACATTACAGGAAAACGTCAGAAGTTAATTTACCCAACCTTTTTAAACTACACGATAAGATACTTTCCCTAAGTGTTTTAGTAAATTCGGAATTCGGAGCCCAATGCGTACCGTTCATGGCTGCTTGTTTTGTGATTACCATATTTGGTATCTTCCTAGAAACAAAAGTTATGTTCATTGTAGGAGGATTAAATGAACTAATGGACTATGTTATCTATCTGTATGTCATATGGAGTTTGACAACAATGATGGTTGGCTATTTGGTGTTACGTCTCTGTTGCAACGCGCATGCTCATTCAAAGCAATCAGCTATGATTATTCACGAGATTATGCAAAAAAAACCATCTTTTATGTTGGGAAATAGTTCTTACTATAATAAAATGAAATCATTTACATTGCAGTTTTTGCATTGGGAAGGCTATTTTCACTTCAACGGCATAGGTCTTTTCGCATTGGATTACACGTTCATTTTTTCGGTGAGTAACTACTTATTTGGAAATCAAAATTGCATTTAAAAAAATGTATGTATGTATGTAAAATACAAATATTTCAGACTGTCAGTGCCGCTACCTCCTACTTAATTGTGTTGCTGCAATTTGATATGACGGCGATTTTAAAAAGCGAGGGACTCACGCCCAAAACCTTAGGTGCAGGAACGAACTAAACACACTTCAAACAGAGTCATAGTAGCAGTTAAAACTGCATGTTGTTGAAACATACTTTTAAGTTTAGAATGGATTTTTAATTTTTGTCAATCAATGACACCTTATACACAGCTTTTTGCTATAATTAGACAGCACAGAGTCACCCATATGAATTTAAAAAAGAAGGAAATATGGAGAAATAAATATTAATATTTTAGAAAGCTGTCCCTATGTTAGCTGATATTAAAAGTGCTTACGTAATGCCAATTATCCGAATTGTTGCAAACTACCACGTTTGTGCGCTCTTGTACCTGAAAAACTTGCAAGTGTGAAATTGAGTGAGAAAAATGCTAATGCTAGTATACGGAGTGCAGGGGCGGCGAAACGCCCTGTGCCCGTGTGGGTAGTTCTGCTGGTGGCAAGAGTATACAGGTAAAGAAAATAGGTTGTCGATTTAATTGAGACGGTTAACAGGTTTCGTTAGAAAAACGTATGGTTTACATATGTACATTAGACTGCATAACCCAAAAAGGTAGCGGATTTTCCGCCGGGATTATAAAATCTATTATATTTAAGACGTCCACCAAAATATTTCGGAAAAATATTAAGATTTACGTGAGCTGTACCGATTTGAAAATACCTCCAAAAATGGAGTTCTTTATGAATAAAAATAGTTTCTTAAACAACTTTTTGAAAAAAGCCCCCTCGGATAACAAAACAGATTAAGCTAAAAAAATCTGCATAAAAATATTTAAAAATCTTTTCAACGGAATCGTAATAATGAGATTTTTGATGCTGTTTTTTTTTACTATTTTCAAAGATTGATTTACGAAAAACTTGAATAACTGGTCCAAAACTATTCTGATTTAGACTTATGGGATCTCAGTAGAGAGGTATTTTCACACTGTTTTTATTTCTGTCCAAAAAAAGTGATTCCAGTCCAAAGTGTCCAAATTTTTATTTTTTTTTTTCAAATACCAGCACATCTTAATTCAACTTTGAATGACGTTCGTTCATCCTACCTTTCTCTTTCATCCTGTGAATGAATTTATTAACAAAGAAATAAAAAGGGAGAGAAAATACCTTTCCAATGACACCTCACAAGTCTAACTCCGAGGTGTTTAAGTTCAGTTATTCAAGTTTTTCTTAAACCAGTCTTTAAAAAATTTAAAAAACATCATCAAAAATCTCATTATTACGATACCGTTCGAAGTTTTTTATAATTTTTAAAAAATATTTTTATGCAAATTTTTTAAGCTTAAACCGTTTTGTCCCTTTAAGACATTTAAAAAAAAAATAATCTTTAAGAAACTATTTTTATTCATAAAAAACTCCATTTTTGGAGGCAGAGTAAAACCCGCTTAAGTACCTCACGAAAAATGTCAGCTTTTTGAGGTACTTAGGAGGGTTGGGTACTTAAGCGGGTACTTAAGCGAACATAATTTGTGATGTAGTTACATCTTCTTGTTAACTTACATAAATAAGTCGTTGAATAAAACATGAACATTTAATGAAGTATACGTAATTATTTAAACACGTAACAACATTAAGGAAAACTTTATTAAAAAACAGATAGAGCCATTTTCTGTTATTTTCACAAGAATTCAATTAAAAAGTCATTGATTATACATATTTATACATACATACAAACAGGGCGTATTATTTTGGACCAAATTCAAAATGATATTGTTTGCCACCTATGTATGTTTATATTTTAATTTTCAAAATCTTTCAATTAAAAAAAGTTCATTCCCTAACAAATACCATAGAAACTTAAAATATAAGCTTAAAATTTTGTAGAACACTGAAAAGATTTATACAAATTTCAAACTTGTTTATCAGAAGTGTTAAAATTTTTTATGAGTATACAGTTTTATAGCCCATGACGATGAATGCCGTGAAGGCAGCGAAATAAGAAGCAGGGGATTAGTTAAATATGCTTTATTCACGAACAGTTTCAGCGGTCAACTGACTCAACAGAAAATATAATACAAGTACTTAGCTTACAAATTACAAAGTGAGCAAAGAAACGATTGGAAGATTACAGTTACAGACTTGAAAAAAACTCAATAGAACAACAGAAACTTAACTACAAAAAATGTATTTATTCCGCAACATCCCGGGCCGCCCTGAAACGGTGTTTCAGCAAGTCGGCAGCACCACAATCTTAGTAATTGGTCGAACCATTTCTCCAAAAGAAGTTTTCAGGCCACAAGGCCATCCTTGCCGGGATATATCTCGATGACCTTAGCTAGTAACCATCGAGCAGGGGGCACATTATTCTCCTTCACGATCACAAGGCTTCCTACCAACATGTTTGGAACGCTCTTCACCCACTTAGGCCGTTGCTGCAATGACGTTAGATACTCCATATGCCATCGTTGCCAAAAGCCCTACATCATGTTCTGAACGTGCTGCCAATAGCTGAGCTTATTCGATGGAATTTCAGATAGCCCAGCTTCAGGTACCATAGTGTATGGGCGACCTATTAAAAATTGAGAGGGAGATAAATAGTTAGCATCGATGTCGGGTGCAGCCCCAAGTGGTCTCGAGTTGACAACTGCTTCAATCTGGGCCAGCAACGTATGCATTTGCTCAAAGGTTAAAATAGTATTCCCAATGACGCGTCGTAGGTGAAGTTTAACTGACCGAACTGCTGACTCCCAGATACCACCCCAATGCGGCGCATGCGGTGGTATATAATTCCATCGTATTCCGTCCTTCGCCAAAGATGCGGAAATGATTTCATAGTGTTTTTGCGACATTAGTACTTTGTGCATTTCATCTAACTGACGAGATGCACCAAGAAAATTTCTGCCATTGTCGCTAAATATTTGGGAGCACTTTCCACGACGGGACATGAATCGGCGTAACGCTGCTAAGAAGCCATCCGTGCTCCAATCTGTGGCAAGCTCCAAGTATATAGCGGACGTTGTCATACACACAAATAAACATATGTAGCCTTTTGCAAATTTAGGTTTTCGACCGGGATATACCTTTAAGGTAAGTGGTCCCGCGTTGTCGCAGCCACTATTTTCAAACGGATACGCTTGGCGAACTCGAACTGCAGGAAGGTCCGCCATCATCTGTTGTGTACATATTTGTCGATGACGAAAACATTTCATACACTTGAACGTAATGCTTCGAATCAAGTTTCTGGCACCTAAAACCCAATACTTCTGGCGTACAATGACGAATGGCGCCGACACAGCCGCATGCAAGCTTTTGAGGTGTTCTTCTTGCAGAATTAAATACGTAATTCGATGCAACTTTGGTAGAACGATGGGATGAATAGCGTTGATATGTATCTCCGCGTTACGAATTCGCGCTCCAACAACGACGAATGGGTTGAGTTTAAAAAGCTTGGAACGCGAACTCAACTTTTTTCTGCACACTAAACTCTTCCGATCCTCTCGAAAACAATCTTGAGCGTATTTTTCAAGTAGTCGCCTTGCATCTTCAAACTCACTATAATTCAACGGGCCAACCCTGTTTTCTCTTTTATGTGGATGAAAACGTTTGATAAACCGCAAAATGTAAGCAACGATTCTGACCAGTTTATTCCAATAAGATGATCTTTCAATAAGATCGGCAAGTGAATGGTTATTCTCTGGAGTTGTTAGAACTAAGCTCACGGCGTTTGATTTAAATTCCATTGCTGCGTCGTGTGCAAGTCGTTTAGAGGGCTTCGATTTCAATAATGCATTCTGAAAAGGTATTTCGCCCCTTAGCCAAAGAGGGCCCTTCCACCAACGATCAAAACTGGACAACTCAGCCGCTAGCATACCTCTGCTAGCACAGTCAGCAGGATCTCCTTAGACGCAACATGATTCCAATGGCGGCGAGGCAGGATCTCAAGAATTTCCGAAGTCCTGTTAGCAACAAAGGTTTTGAGCTTCGCAGGAGAATGCGAAAGCCATGCTAACACGATTGTCGAGTCGCACCTCGCATAAACGGAAATTTCCTTGTGTGGCAGTGTTTCTTTAACTACATTAATGAGCCGCGCAAGCAGTAACGCCCCACATAGCTCCAGGCGGGGCAAGGATGTTGGTTTCAAAGGTGCTACCCTTGTTTTAGCAGCCATAAGTGACACATGAAAAACACCATTTTCATCCTTAGTGCGGCAGTAAACAACAGCTGCGTACGCTCGCATGGATGCGTCACAAAATCCTTGTAGCTCTAGCATTTTACCGGATGGTGTAGGCACATAACGTGGTATGAAAAAATTCGTTATATTCTCCATATCGCTGCGATATTTCAACCATAACTGCGCTTGTGATATGGGCAACGGCGTGTCCCACTCTAAATCCTGCAGCCACAACTCTTGAAAAAGGATTTTGTATTGCACTACAACAGGTGCTAGTAAGCCCAACGGATCAAATACGTGACACACTTCTGACAACAACTGTCGCTTACTGACGGTATCTCGGTCGAATCTTCAACACATACCTTGTAGGCTAGAGTGTCTGCTACTGGCCTCCAAAGCAAACCGAGAACCTTTGCTGTATCCTCCTCCGTGTACTTCAAAAGGCTCTGATCTCGTTGGCTTGTACTTAGGTGTTGACAGTTAGAAACCCATTTGCTTAATTCTAAACCGCCGCATGCCATTAGCTTGCATAGTTCATCCTTCACCTGAAGGAGTTCCTCTTCCGATTTAGCACCGGTTAAGACATCGTCGACATAAAAATCTTCTGCGAGTATTCTTGATGCTCGGGGATACTTCTCCTGTAATCTTGGGAATGCTGCTTCAGGACTCTTATGGCTAATAACGGTGCGCATGAGGTTCCGTAAGTAACAGTGCAAAGCTGGAAATGCTCAATGGGGTCACTCGGGCATTCCCTCCACAAGATTCGCTGATAATTGCGATGCTTTTCGACTACCCAAATTTGGCGAAACATTTTTAAAATGTCGGCCGAAAACACAAACCGATGCAACCGAAAACGAAAACAAACAGCGAATAGATTTCTTTCAATGTTCGGGCCTGTGCTTAGCGAACTGTTGAGTGAGACTCGATTTGTATCTTTAAAAGATCCATCAAATACAACCCGCAGCTTTCGCCCCAGCACTGGGTGATGCGGCATATAAAACCTAATCCCATCATCAACCTCGATTTCGTCAGACCGCAGCTTTCTCATATGGCCTTGGCGAGCGTACTCGCGCATAAATTCAACGTATTGTTGGCGAAGTGCATCATTTCTTATCAAACGCCGTTCTACGGTCAGAAATCGCGCTAAACAGCCGCTCATTGTTTCTGAAAATATGACCTTTGGTTGCTGAAAAGGTAACTCTACTACGTACTTGCCGGTCTCAGTTCTAAAATGCGTGTTAGTGAAGTGATGCTCTGCATAATCGTCTTCGCTGTTATGTACTGGCACATGAGTCTCTTCAATCTCCCAAAATTTTCTTAGTGACTGGTCGACATCAGCAAGTGTAACGAGCGAAATAGTTGGTTGTACCTGAGGTAGTGGAATGCTGGTAACTATCCACCCAAAAATTGACGATACTGCGATAACATTGCCATGAGTGTCGTAGATCTTGTCCGATGTGATAACATCCCACTCGTACTGTGCACCAATTAAGATGTCAATATTTGATGCTTCATTAAACGAAGGGTCAGCAAGAGGAACTGCATTGAGCTGACTGACTGCTGATATTGTTATTGTTTCTTGCAGAAGCGTAGACGTGATTCTGCTGAGAACATGAGCTTTGACCTCTAAAATGTCATTGCCGACTCGAGATTTGATGCGGAGAGCGCAGGGTCCACGGGTTGTTTCAGCGTTGACTGAGGAGATACCCGAAACAACAACACGTGAATGTGAGCGTGGGAGAGCGAGGCTTTGAGCGCAGCGCTCGGTGATGTATGACAATTCGGAAGCGCAGTCCAACAAAACACGGCAAGTTTTGTATCGATGCCCTGCCGTTTGTATATTAACCACCGCTGTAGGCAAAATAAATTGACTGCTATCCCTAGACGAGCATTCAACTACATTGGCATATTCTACTCCTAGAGGGCTACACGATGAGTATGGGCGAGCAACATGTGACGTAGTTGACCATAGGCCAGGCGATGCAGTGGCAGAGACCGGCGAAGAGGTCGACGCTTGCGCTGACGGCGACGCAGTGGGAGTCTGCAGTACTGTAGTAGGGTGTACCAATGTATGGTGCCGACGATGACATTCCTTGCAGCGAAATTTGCTTGAACACGAATACGATGTATGTCCACTTTTGAGACAATTGAAACAAAGCGATTTTCCATTTATAAAATTACGACAATTTTCAAGGCTGATTGAAGCAAATATTGGACATTTTGTTATAGTGTGGTCTGTCGAATTACATTTAACACATACTCTAGATACGTTAGTATCAGTGGTCAGCAATGCACGTGATTGCTGCTTGATAGCCTTACTACCGACCTCGGATGAATTTGAAGAGCTGCTAAGTTTGCGACCGCTTAACTCCAGTTCTTCGCAACGGGAGTCCAAGAACTGTAAAAACTCGCCAATGGAAGGTATTGCATTGGCCTTACTATCGTTGATCCAACGACTCCGAGACTGTGGGTCGATTTTTGCTACCAATAAATAAATTAGCCAGCAGTCGCGCCCACTTTGCTTTGAAGCCTCCAAACCTCGCACAACTTCATGAGCACCATCCGAGATTTTTCGCAGCAAGTTCGAGTTTTCAACCGTCGTAGAAGGAAGGTTCATGAACATATCCATGAATGAGTTAACTATGTGCCGGGGTCGGTCAAAGCGATCACTCAAACGTTGCCATGCGGTTTTGTAAGCGGTATCTGTCACTGGTAAATGTTTTATCTGTTCACGAAGTAACGAGGTTAAGTAATGGCATTTTTGAACGTTGGATAGACTGGACCTTGAATCCACGGAACTCACGAATAAATCGCGAAAGGTAGGCCAGTCCTTGTAATTACCCGAAAAAGGTTGAATATTGATTTTTGGTAAATCATTTTCAACAAATTTTGTCGATTTAGAAACGTGGGCTAATTGCTCAAAAAGCGTAGCTTGTTGTTCTGTTAACCTTGAAATGACATTGTCAACCTTGTCTGCATGACCGCTGTTGTCATAGGGTTCTTCAACCGAAGGTAGTCCTCTTTTTAAAGTTAGGAGCAATCTACGTGTTAGTAGATACTTTTCTTCATATACAGCGTAATCCGCCTCGGGGTCTGCATACTCTGGGCTTTCCACGAGTTTGTACATTTGGTCAGTTGTATGCACGAACTCCTGCCAAACTTCCTGTAGACGCTCCAGTCTAGTGTCAATCTGCTCATTAGTGAAGTCTTCAGGGGGCTCTCAGCATAAGCAAGCGCGCGCGTAATTGAGGCCTTTAGACGTCCGCGAAATTGAATGAGAAGATATTCTTCCGACATTATGAACGAAACGCGACAAAAAATAATTTTACTTTAATTACTTAGACAAAAAAAAACAAAGAGCCATCCGGCTTGAAGGACCAGCTCGTGACGATGAATGCCGTGAAGGCAGCGAAATAAGAAGCAAGGGATTAGTTAAATATGCTTTATTTACGAACAATCTCATCGGTCAACTGACTTAACAGAAAATATAATACAAGTACTTAGCTTACAAATTACAAAGTGAGCAAAGAAACGATTGGAAGATTACAGTTACATACTAGAAAAAAACTCAATAGATTACAGTAGTTACTAGACCTTTTCGTACAACAGAAACTTAACTACAAAAAATGTATTTATTCCGCAACAGCCCATTTATAATGCGCAAGTTTCAAGTGGCTAAAAATTACCGTTGATTTTTTAGAATTTTTTTGCCAAAGGTGTGTAGCGCTGCCACTGAATTTCAAAATATGTAAATGTTTGAAGAAATTTAAAAAAAGCACTTAAGGGGTGCCCAATAATATTGTGAACTTAAGCGGGTTAGGTACTTATGCGGGGGGTACTTAAGCGGGTTTCACTGTATTTTCAAATCGGTTCAGCTCACGTAAAAAATTTATTTCTGCAGTGAAAACGCGGCCATTCATTTTGAATTTCGAGAAATGAAGTAGTTCATGAGGATTTCTAGATCTAACGTATCAACTGCTTCTGGATAAGAATGCAATATTGCTACATGGTTGAGCCGTTTTTGGTGCATTGGTGAGCTCAAATAATTTTTCACCCTACGAAGACCAGAAAAGCTCCTCGCGTTAGAGCACGACGACCCCGGAATCGTTAATGAAGCGTACATATTCAGGAAAAGGTCCCACACACAATTCGTTTTCACGCACAATATCTTTCACAGATCCTTGCTCTTTGCGCCTAAATATGCACAGAGACATATCTTTATTGGTATTGAGTCTGAATTTGTCAAAATGCCATTACAAAATGTAACGATTTGCTCCAAACTACTGTCTCACCAAGAATGAACTTTTCTAAAGTTTTATAAAACGTTGCCGTCTCAGTATCAAATCTACTTGTAAGGGAGCAAATACCTTTGTCAAACAATTTCGTAAAATATCTTCCGAAAATAGAGGATTTCAATTTGACATATTTTTCTTCTAACAAATTTGCAGGTGGGTAATTACACACCTTTAAAAATTTCAGGTGGGTAGTACTACCCACCATACCCACGTCTTCCGCCGCCCCTGACGAAGTGTAATAATAAGATGGTGTGACCCTTTTAAAAAACGTGTATTGAGAGACCCTATTAGTAAATAGTTAATACAATATATATATACAATGTTGACTAGCGGGAGTCATTATAAGAGGTGTAAATATAAGAGAAAAGTATATACGAAGTATAACAGGTAGGTATGGTAATAAAGGCATAAGTAATTAAGGGTGTCACAATTATGATTAATTAATGGAAGAGTATCTAATACATCTTCCCCTTTTTTCAATACAATTCAGTTATAATATTGTATTTATTACACTGCACGGCAAAATCAACTTTTTTTCTGGGTATTGGACCAAACCATTTTTTTTAAGAGATTGAGTCTTAGGTAAAAAAAGGCATTTCTCCGTTTTTCGAAGTTAGCCTCCGAAATCGAGATATGGGGCTTCAAAGTTCAAAATAGGACCTTTGGTAAAAAATGATTCTTAATTATTATATGTAAATAACTAAAAAACTAAAAATATAGATGTAGTCCGCCTTTTACTGTAATTTGAATGGTATATAACTTTTTTTGCGCAGACTTATATTAAAAATGCTGTGACGGGTCAAAGGTCGGGTCTTCGAAAAATTAAAAACCTTATAATTCGAAAAATTTTGACCTGATTTTTAAAAAATTGATATCATTTCTTTTGGTATGCATACTTATATACTTCCTATGTGAAAATTTCAGAAAAAACAGTAAAAGCAAAAAAAATACCTTTTTTTATAAAAAGAATTTTTTAAACAAAAAGATTATTAACCGATTTTTAAAAATTGATATCGCTGTAAACGCTATTAAACCTGCTTTCTTCTGAGATGCATATTTGTATACTTAGTCTATAAAAATTTAAGAAAAAAACTGAAAAAAAAAAATTTACAAAAAATTACTAACCGATTTTTAAAAATTTGGTATCGTTGTAAAGGCGATTAAACCCCCCTTTCTTCTGATATGCATATTTGTATACTTCGTATGTAAAAATTTGAGAAAAAACATTAAAAACTAAAAAAATACCTTTTTTATAAAAAGAATTTTTTAAACAAAAAGATTATTAACCGAGTTTTAAAAAATTGATATCGTTGTAAACGCAATTAAACTTTCTTTCTTCTGATATGCGTATTTGTATACTTCGTAATACAATTGAATACTTAATTTAAATAAAACAAAAGATAACCTTTAATTTTATATGTAACTTGTTATGTAAAAAATCAAAAACCATGGTATTTTGATATGCCATAGACTTCTGTTACATATACTTTTGCTTTACTTTTAACAGGGCTGTTGGTAAACAAGAACGAGTTAACGCTTAAAACACTAAAAACTAATTTGACATATTGTTTGAATCAACGTTCAAGTTCCCCATCAAGGTCGTCATCGTCCAAGTTTTCCTTAGCTATCTTTAGCCACCAACATAAGTCAGCTATCATGGCATCTAACTTTTTTCTTTTGTACCGGGCCTCCATTGGAACAGCAATTTGATGAAAGCGTTCTCCCTGCTCATCAGATTCGGTTGAGAGTTGTCTCTCTAACCAGTCAAGATGAGCATGCATTAAATGTACTTTTAGCGACATATGAACATTCGCTTTAGAAAACGCTTCCATCAGGTTATTTGCATATCCACGGACATTTTCATGACGCTGATTGCCAAGAACATTAGTGATAACTACCTTTAATGCACTCCAAGCAATCGCTGCATTCGCATCTAATGATTTTGTAGTCTTCGCTTTTTAACATTTGGCGAATGTCCGGACCGTTAAAAATACCTGTAATTGTATACACACAGATGCATATAAAATAAAGTATATAATCCAAATATAATTTATATACTAACCAGCTTCAATTTTAGCATATGATAGTTTAGGAAACATATTCCTGAGACATGTATTTGCGGCATCATTACGCTTAATAAATGACTTGACGAAATTAGTTACTAGTCCCAATTTGGCATGTAGTGGCGGAATTAGGATTTTATTGCGACTCACTAGCGGACTATTGATAATGTTTGCATTTCCAACAGTATATTCGTCTCGCAGTGGCCAATCTTTTTTGTTGTAATGGCCTTCGGCATACCTCGTGTCCCATAAACAAATAAAGCACATATTCCTTGGCCATCCAGATGGTGGCAATCCCATGACAGTAGCTACTACTTTCATGTCTGCACATATTCTCCACTGGAATTGCTCATATTGGATATAATTTAGAAGAACGTTTTTGTAGGTTTCAGCCTTATCTGTATTGTACGCTAATGGAAAGGGTGGTTTGCTTTTGTCTTTATATAACAAGACTGCCTTTAAACTGGCTTTATTTGAGTCTATGAAGAGGCGCCAATCGGGCGGATCGTGAGTTATATTGATCTCGTTCATTAAACCGGTGATATCAAGACAATAGGTGAAAGTATTAGCGTCATTTACCGCAAAAAATTGTTTTATAGATGTTTGCCTTTTACAATAGCCCGACGTTCTAACATCTTGTGCTAAGTGGTTTCCACTCTTCAAAAATTAGGCCAACTCTTCTGCTTGCGTTTTTGATAGCGCTAGTTTTCTCACGAATCCATCTCACTGTCCCTGTGTAATAAGCCTTACAAATGCAGTAGCTTCAGAAGGAACATATGTTTCATCGAATTCGTCGGGTATATTTACGAATCTTCCATACACAGTTGACTGATGAGGCCTTCTTCGTTCCGGTGCTGGGATATTGGATATTGGATTGGGATACAAACTTTCATCGCACTCTCTTTTGCGACGTTTTATTCTGTTGTCACCAGCATGATAGTTTAAACATACACGACATGTATCACTGCTATGTACATCTAATATAAACGTAAAAATCTTGATGAAGTCTACTCTTATAAACATTGCTGTCACTATGTAATTACCTGGCTTATACCAAATTGCAGGAACACCAAACACCAAACATCAATTGATCAATTTCTTTTTTCCGCCATTTTTGTAAATGGTTGTAACAGGTCCTACATATCTTGCTCGGAA